AGGATCCAATGGAGGATCGGATGGGTTAAGGAACGAAAGCGGGTGGCGAGCGAGGTGCACTATATCCTCCACGCTGTCGAAGTGTGAGCCGTCATTTGCGACGCGGCGCCGTCCTATCTTCCCGTGAAGCGTCCGGTGGTAACGCTTGTGCAAGCGAATCCCGCAGCGAGAACAAGCGCCCTCGCAAGCGAATCCTGTATTCATGTGTGGGAGCGGGCTTCTGGGGATTATGGACCTAATCCGAGAATGAGTCTGGACATGGTCGCGACGCATGCAGGATTTTCCGGTTTGAGTAGGCCTTGAAGATGCTCACCGTTCGAATGACGATTCCCTATAACCGTCTGGAGTGTGACCATTGAACCGAACCCAAGGCATGATCAAAACGAATGGTCACGTACATCTCCCGGAATTTACGATTTCGCTGAAAAAGACCCCATGACGGGAAATCACAGAATCCCTAAGAATCCCTCCCACGCAAATACCTGCTTCAGGCAACGAGGATTGCGATGGTATCATGGAAAGGCTATACTCGCAACCGCCCAACTGAATTCCCGTCCCCTCGTACAGCCGAGTTAACGCGGTTAGGTAAATCGAGAGCTCGGGCCGACTCAGGATCTGAGGCTCGAGTCCGCTCTTCTAGCAGCGTGATGTGCTGTGAAATTGTGAGCTGACTGAGAGTCTGAGGGAACATTTCACATTTTTCGCTCCACATCTTGGAGAGCGGCCATTAATGGTTCCAGGCTGGTTTATGGAGCCTGGATTTCTTCTGGCGATAAAACCAGCCAGCTCGATCAAGGGCTTCATATTCCGGGTGGAAGTCTCGGAGCAACTCTCGAGACTTACTCGACCAGGTTCAGAGACGAAGGTAAACTGGAAATTCCGTCGATGAAGAAGACGAGCTGCAAGAAACACGCATCGGTCAGATTTGTCAAGATCTTCAATAACCCTAAACCTCCATTGCCTCCAAACCTCAAAGTCAGTTTCGATAGCGCGAGTGCTCGTGGGAAGAAATTGATGGCGAAGGAAAAAACAATATGTCATGGAATCATCCGACACGGCTGTGATAAAGACTCATGTGTGAAACTCTGAGTACATTGGAATAACTGCTCTCGGTCCGCTCTGCTCCACGTGTCTCCCCCACCCCTCACCTTACCCCTTAGGTTCTGCTCCGGAGTCGGAAAAATCGGGAGAAAGTGAATCACAACTTGGATCTCCTCCACCTGATTCAGACGCTCCTTTCGTCAACAACGCTGTCACCCTAGGATCCAGATCTCTGAGAGGACGTTGTATTGCTTCACGGTAGCAGGCCACCATAGGGTCGGAGGAATCCATCAACATGGCCAGGAGGTCTGAATTGGAGTTCTCCCTTGATGACTCCCTCGTATTGTGGAGTGTCAAGTAGCGGATTTCCTTGTGTCGTATTTCTTGAGGTTCCTCCGTCTATGACCCAATGGGGACTTCAAGATGCCGCACAATCTCAGCGCCATGGTCGAAAATTTTGAGGACCGTAGGTTGGGAACCATCGGTAGTGTTCGGTCAGACGGTTTTTTGTATGCGAAGCGTGGGCTCCAAACTTGTCCGCGTCGATGTTGTACTTCGATGATTGGGTTTGGAGAATGACTCGGAAGCGTCCAATCAGGTCTTTGTCAATCCCAGTGATCGAGGCACTCACAGCCGATTCCTCGAATAATTTCCTGGCTATGTTACCGTCATAGTTATACCGAAGCCCTGTTCCGGTGAATCGACCAATGAACCGAGTTTTTCCTTGAAATCCTTCTGTATGGTGCCCGTCCGAATCAACATGATTGAACATTCTTCTTTCGTCAAGGTCTTCGTCTTCAGACTCAATCTAGACGATAGGTGGAGGAGGAACAAGTTCGAACAAGTGGATCCATGCATGGAGAGTGAACAACCGTAATGCGTAATTATCTGTGACATCTGGGGGTCGGTGTGAGCTTTTCTCCAATTGCTTCACTGTAGACTGACAAATATGTATAACGAGTCTGAGTCGATCTCGCGCCAGTCAAAGCGTTGACCTTTTTTGCCATCGACCATTGTTAGCATCATCTTGTGGTTCGACTTGTGACAATATTGACGCCTCGGATCGAAAGGCTCGTTCGGACAAGCGTCCTTATCTACGACTCTATGATCTGAGCTTCATGCAAGACAACTTCATTCGATTCCTTCGCGAAGATTAGTTTTATCGGACGGCTATTAATTAATTATTAAGGTTTTATTACGTGTTCATTACACAATAGAACTCAGTTCACCTAGTTTTTCTAGCCCTGGCCTCATTTCACAGAGTATGGCATGGTATCTTGGGCATCCCTCACCGCAAAATCTACACACACACGCGTCCGATGGATCATGGTATCCATCTGTTTTACAGAGTTTGTGGTGGTATCCATGCACTAGGTAGCGGGCAAAGCGGTGTCTTCTAGGGTACCTCGGTGAGCTCCACCAGCTCTTTCTTTCCAGAATCGGGTCGCCTTCCAGCGTGCTTTTAGCTTCCTCGTGCTTTGGCGTCCACCGGTTGAGGTATTGTTGGAATGCCGGCGTGCTTGCTGCTCTGAGAGACGTTTCCATCCTTTCTACAAACGGCGCGTCCATTTCCGTCAGTACGTACAGGTATCGGTTCCGAGCGTTCTTTGGCACCCGGAAAACTCGCTTCAGATACGTGCAGAAACATTTCTCGAAAGTCTCAAGCTGTCTCTCAGTTAGATGCGCCCAGAGTCGATCCATGCCGTACGATAACTTCGGCAATGCTTTATGAAGAAGAGTCTTAGCGCCGTGTCGACTGAGAGGTGGTAGGGGTCAGCCGCCTCTCCGTACATTGCTATGAGGGTTTTGCAGCAGACTTCTTCAACGTGTTCTGTGAAACACGTTCCCGTAGTTTGCAGACGGATCCCGAGATATTTGGCCGAGGCGACGAATTCGAGGGGCTGTCCTCTCCATGTAATTCGATCGTGTCGACTCAGATGTCCTCCTTTCCTAATCTTCAAGACCATTGTCTTCGCAGGGTTCAGGCGTAGGCCCTCTCCGGTGAGGTAGCTGTCTGTCAGATCAAGCATCTTTTGAGCTTGGAGTCGGTTCTTGTGCATGAGAATGATATCATCTGCGAACATGGCAATTGTGCCTGTTCTGAACTCGGCTTTTATTTTTCCGGGCAACTCCGCAAGGAGGAGCGAGAATCCGGAACAGCTCAGAGGGTCCCCCTGCGGCGTTCCCCGGTTCTGAACCACGTCTATCGATGTATCTCCTCCGATGCCGATCTTCAGGAGGTCCTGGTGATAGAAGCTTCCAATAATTTTGAGGAGTTGACCATTCACTCCGGCTCTTCTGAAGGCATCTACCATCCGTTGTCG